AGTAGAAATTAACTATTTTTTTTTAAAACCATCCATCCTCTCTGCCGCACCCTGTATTTGGTAACTGCCCTCGATCTTTTCAAATAGCAGAATCGCAAGTATCAAGTAACTTTCCCATAGCACCTGAATAAATTGAAGGTCCTGTTGTAGTTCCATCGAGTTTCAAAAACAAGCGTTTTAAAGGCAGTTCATTCAAATGTAAAAGACTGAAGTGGCCTATTGATCCATTTTTTAATAGCCGTATAACTCCGCCATGTTCACCTCTGTTTGTTGCAGTTCCGTCACACCCTATCGCTAAACTATCCTCTACAAGTCCTATGTTTAGTTGTCTGATTGTCTCATATATTGCAGACTCTATTCCTTTTGCTGTTCCTTTATTCGGTACACCATAACCTACATGAACTGAGCCTGGTTCCTTGAGTATTGTTCTCCAACAGCTAATGATCGATAACGCTTGCCACATTTGGTTACAATTTTCAAAGCCCTATCATTTCGCTCATCAAAATACAAAGCAGGAATACTATCAACACGATCTTGAGTCAGAAATTCTTGTCATGATATCTGTCTTGCTTCTTGACTTGTCAATTACATCGTCAATTACAGATTCTTGATACATTCTTCAGGGGAGGTGTTTCTCGCTTTTTTAGTTCTTGTGGCACCGATGATCATTGAGACAAGGTTTCTTTTTGGCTGCTTTTACGTTTTTCGGAAATATGTCGTTTTTCGTGAGAGGAGATCCGATTAGTTTTCTGTCAATAGTTCAATATTTGTCATAATCATTTTCCTATTTGTTTTCTGACCGACTAAGAAAGCTCGTTCTCCTGTGGGTACTTTCTAGTGCTTGGACATTCATTCAAAATATTCACGCTTGCAATCAAACAGTTTATCAGAGTTTCTATAAAAATCTTGCGTTTATGTTTTTTTTTATATCGAAGCCGCCGCGCAGGCAGAAGCCTAAATGCCGGAACACCGTGGCTGCTATGATGATCCCAAAGAAATTTTGTTAATACGATTTTTGAACTGCCTAAGGTTAATAGAACTGGGAAAAGCTTCCTCTTGTAGATTGTTCCACAGTCTCGACACCCTCGGAACAAAGGAGCGGTCGTATCGCCCAGTTCTGGATGTACGAAGCTCGACACGGTTAGGATGGGACGTCAAAGTTCGGCGGGTCTGTCTGGCAGGCACATCACGCGGCGGCATCACGGAAGAGAGCTCTGAGGAGCAAAGTCTGCTGTTGTAGTGATAGAAAAGAGCTAGGTCGCCGACTGCCCGCCGGTGCAAAAGAGTTCCGAGACTGTCTGTTAGAGAAGAGTCACCGATCAGTCGGACCGCCCTCCTCTGGACAGCACCGAGCATGGATAATGTAGTCGGGGCGGCAGCACCCCAAACGTGTGAGCAATACTCGAGGCTAGGCCTTATCTGGGCCTTGTATAGAGTGAGAAAGTCATGCGGAGAAAAGTACTTCTTAGCCCTGAACAAATAGCCTAGCTTTTTCCCAGCAGCTGCAGGTGTTGACGAGATGTGTTCGTGCCAGATCAGGTCCTCGGTGATCTGGATTCTGACCAGCCGAAATGAATGGCTCTTTGACAGAACTCGGCCATCCATCGAAACCAGACGAGCGCTAGGACGCTTTTTGTTCTGTTTTGGAAGCATTGAACTGTACAAGATTGTTGCGTCCCCAAGCAGTGATAGCCTCCAGGTCTCTTGTCAGAGAGGATGTCGTTGCTAGCCTTATTTTTTCCAGCTCACTGGCAGAGATCGGCTTGTCACTCTGAATTCCTGCATGTAGGGTGCTGTCGTCATGTGGTACAATATTGCCACAAATGATCAACATTTTTCGAGACGAATTCGGATATCTCATTGATGGATGGCTCCTTTTTAGAATTGTAATACACTTTGAGGCGGTGTCTCATTAAATTATAATCTTTCATCACTTGTTTGTACGTGGGTAACTGATTTTTACCCAGTTCTTCGGGAGCACCAAAAATAGCACAATAGTAGCACTTTGGGTATTATTTGAAATTACCATAGCAACACAATGTAATTGTTTCAAAATTCAAAAGCTTTGCGCGGGTAACCAGACACATCCAAAAAAATACCACAGCGCTAGTCCATAATAATCAGGTCACACTTTGCCCACTATTACAAATCAAAGCAGGACATTTTTTTTTCCACCCACCCTAATGTGCACACCGTGTATAGCGCTTCTGTAGCACATTCCTGGGACTAGGATGGCACACTTCAACACATGCAGTGCGCTTCCGGCATGACCCCTTCTGATCCTCCTGATGGGGGGTACCACTCGTCTAACCATAAAACCCACAATAGGCGCGAAGCTATGAATAATCTCCCTGCTGGTCGCCACAGGCATTATGCTTCAAACACAGTCGTAAACCGCGTTCGACACACGCGGCCATTAGTCCATGTGAAGCTGGTTTTGTTAGCGTCAGCTGGCGGGCGAGCAAAGCGGCATCATCAGATTCAGACCGACATGTCTGGGGGGTCACAGTGGCTTGATGTTCCGTCTATACATGTCCCCACCGACAGTGGTATAAATCATCGACAGCGCTGGAGGTAGAAAAGCACTGTGCTTGTTTAGGGTCAATTGGTAGGATAATAGTCATGGAAAGTAAAGTTTGTAATGGCCTGGGAACCAAGCTTTAGTACAAAGCTTAGGGAAAGTCATTGTCACACTCCTTATACAGAAATGGTTATTTCTTAGACCACTCCATATAGGTATATAAGAAACGATACAAGTGAATCAGAATAGCATAAGTAACTTAGCCTTAGTATGATGCTGAAACTTCCATCCCAATGATATCAACAATGTAGCAGACTGTGAAAATACTCAATCAGAAACTTCTACAAAAAGGACATCCCCTAGTCTACTTTATTGCGTAAGGTTGTGCAAAATAATGCATAATGAAAATACACCAATTCTAAGGATCTGCCGTTACCACTTAAATGCTACCTTCTATTTTGAAGGGTATTGTAACGTTTTCTTTCAGCTTGATATCTAACTTACAAAAGGGTTTGCGGTAGCATCAGGAGATCAAGGGATCAAGAGATATGAAAATATACACTGTGTCCCATTCGGAAAATCTGAGAAACAGTTCATTTTGTGTTTTTAACTATCCCGTGTAAACCATCCAAGATACTGCAAAAAATTCAGTAGTGTAGATTAGGTGCGAGTTTTTAGTTGTTTTTTTTTGATATATTGTCAAATAGCATATCAAATTACTTTGTTTGGAAGAGCTCATCCAAATCTGCAATAAGATATAGAGCCTTCCGTATAAAGAAATGTATGTTTGGGTAACTTTGTAAAAATAAAAGATTTTCCAACTGAGGAGACTATATACTTCCAAGTAGTGCTGAAGAATGGAAAAAAGTAGCAGATGACTTCTAGATATATCATGTGGAATTTCCCTTTCTGCTTAGAAGCTTTAGATGGCAAACATGTTGATTTTGAAGCTCCTAAAAGTGTTGGCTCGATTTATTATAATTATAAAGGACGAAACAGCATATTTCTCCTAGGACTAGTAGATGCCAACTATAAATTTTTGTATGTTGATATAGGTGTAAATGGTAGGGTTAGTGATGGGGGTGTTTTTAGAGAAAGCAGTCTCAGAAAGGGAACTGACAGAAACATTCTGAACTTTCCAGAGGATTACTTTCTGCCAAACAGTAATATCAAGATTCCATATGTAATAGTTTGTGATGATGCCTTCCCACTTACCAAAAGAACTATTAAGCCGTATCCCTCAACGTGGATTATCCAATGAAAAACGAATTTTCAACTATCGTTTATCAAGAGCAAGAAGAACTGTTGAGAATACTTTTAGAATCTTAGTCAACAGATTTAGAATTCTCAGAGAAACAATAAATTTAGATCCACAAAAGGTTGAGACAATAACACTAGCATGTTGTGTTCTGCATAATTTTCTCACAACACATAGTAAGCGTTATATAGAAATGGATAATAAAAGCTGTAACTTAGATCGCCTTTCTCAACAAGGAGGAAAAAGATATGCTTCTGCAGCTGTTGATGTTAGAAGACAATTATGCAGATATTTCAGTACTACTGCAGGAGTGCCTTTTCAAAATAGGGCTATAGGAATTGATTAAAAATGTACATGTATTCTGTCTTTTTATATTGCATCTCTTAATAATTTTTGTATCTCTAAATAAACATCTTGTTTTATATCATCATTTGTGATTTTGTTTAATTGTGCTGCCACAAATTGGCCCATGAAATCATCTGCTGTGGCTGTAGCAGCAGTTCCGCCTTTCTGCAAAGCTGCAGACAGGCTTCCAAGGCTATCAGATATATCTCTTGGGAGTGCTGCTACCGCTGCTTGCAGATGATGTCTCTTGCTTCTGGGTACCATTTGAGCATGGCCTTTGTAAAATGCCAAGGTGCTCAGAAAGACCACTTTCAGGTCTTTCTGCGACTGGTGATAAGATCCCCTCATCACCAACTTCGTAATGTTCCTGAAAATAAGTGCAAGTTTATCCATAAATTTTTAGAAGCATTTTTAGAGCAAAGCAATAATTTTATAACAGGTTTGAAATACAATTTCGATTTATCATTCACCTGGCACAATTTTTAAAGTGCCATATTTTTTCGTTAAAGCTAATTTGCATATGGTGTTTAAAATTATTTATATACCATCCATAAAGAATTCATTTCCAATGTAGCTACTTTAATTAACTCAGATGTTTTAAAAGTAGTTTTTTTTATAATAATCATTCCTAAGCTTGAAAAAATAAGGTAAACATACCTCTTGTTGGGGATTTACCTGTTGTGTATCTTGAGTGACATGTTATGAGACAACCTCCGAACTTGCCACAGATAAGGGATGGCTACTCCTCGACCCCCTCATCTAGAGGTGAGAATATTTAGCCGGTCGTAGTACCATCGGAAAGTCTGATACACCTATAGCATATATACAACACCTTGCATATTCAGATATCCACTTGGAACAATAGTGATTAAGTTTTCAGTCAGCTGCAGACCTTACCTCCTCCTCTCCCATTCCTGATCGAAGAGACTCGAAAACCTTTCTGCGCTCCTGCGCATAACTGGTCCTTAAGCCCAGAATTTTTTTCTGGACCTGCTCTCCCGAGACATTTGGTCGCACATCCTTTAGTCCTTCCACTATTTGCGCTGTGGCCATACTTCTTTTATTTTTATTATGGTAGTCAGGATGCTTCACTATATACAAGCAGGTATGTTTTTCGTGTAGCTCTATGAGAAGGGCAATTTGCTCGCTGGACGAAGACATCCTTAAATGAATATTAGTCATTACAATGCTAAGATCGAGTCGTAGATGATATTTTCTCACCTGCTCAAAAAGAAAGTTGATGTTGATTAACAAAGATAAAAAAAATTCAGTACCCAGACGTCGCGGACAACGAAGCGAAAGCAAACAACAAACAAGTGACAAATGATGTTAGGTATAAGCTTGGGGACGCTATGACAGCTGCGCATGCGCCGGGCCTATACATTGAATGAAAAATAGAACATGTTCCGTATTCCAAACAATTTCTTGTTCAATTTCAGCTTTCCAGCCAATTTGCTGTATGATACTACACAATATATCTTGAACAAGAAATTGAACCAAATCTTGTACAAGAAATTGTGTAGTCTAAAACAGTCTTAAAAACTCACTTTGTATAGTAACTTTAATGACTACGCAAAAAAACCGACTAAGGCTTAGCCCGCACTACAGTTTGAAGATGGATTTCAAAAGAGCTGTATGTATTGTTGCTCTAATACTAAGAAGCAGAAATAGAAAACGTCATCAACAATTTCGCAAATATTGGGTCCATCCACTGACTAGCCGAAGATTTAAGAAAGGTCTCTTTCATAAAAAGTATCACGATTTGAGAAAACATCCTGAGAAATTTGTCAACTACTATCGGAACGGAAACGAGGACCAGCTAGTTCTGTGCTTTAAGGACAATAGCGCATATATCAACAATATCCCATCGTAACGCTTTTGACACTGTGTTGCTAGATGTACCATTACTGGGGAAAGGTAAATACGCAGAAAATTGTTGTCCTTCCGTTCGTTCATTTTCATTAGTCGTCACACGATCACAAGAACATTCGCTCCCAGAAGTCCCCCCACCTCAAAATGTCCCACTGGATCCGCATCCAGTGTATGAACTTACATTTTCGTTCAGATTACACGTGTGTAGCAACCCCCCACCTTTACCAATGTATTGTTTATTCTTATTATTTTGTTAACTTTTACTGGCGCTATGTCTGTTCTAATACGGTCTAGCATTCCCTATGTCGACCACTCAAAGTCAGTATCACTGGACTACTGGGCATCTCTTGGATAAACCGGTGGTTGGTAAGTGGAGGGTCTTGCGTGAAGTCTGGGAATCATCTACGGAATTTAAGTATCTTTGATTTGCATTGAACTCCCTACAGACAATGGCGCTCATCAATAGTTTGTTCAGGCTTTTCTATGAACTCTTAGGTCTTTTTAGAGGGAGATCATCAGCTTGTTGCTTTACTTATGTGGTTAATTAACCAATTATGATATTGGAAAAAGAAAAAAAATAGCCTCCAGAGCAAGGAAGTCCCTCTAAGAGATAGTTGTTTTCACCAGAAGGAAGAAATCAGAGAAGTTGGGACCTCTATACCTTGTGAAAAAACCGTTACAACTGTCGGGAGAAGTCAAATACCTGGGGGTAATACTAGACTTCAAACTAACCTGGAACTTGCAGATCAAACGCTCTCATGGCAAAACATGGGGATTAAGCCCTTTCAAGATGCAATGGACGTACATAATATTAGTAATGCTCATGTTGACTTGTGCATATGTGGCTCTTCATGACGGTGTTCCGAAGAATGACAGTACCGCGCGCGATTGCCGCGTCAAATGTGTGCGCGTCAATATACCTGTAAGTTCTCTATACTAAACATTTTGGTGCGGTTTTTTCCCGCTAGCCATTCTGTAACAAGTTGCGGCTTTAAAATCAGCCGCAGGAAAAAACCATCTGTATGGCCGCTTCCCTTAGTTTACTTTACTCACGAAATCAGGCGGTTAAAATCCGCGGCCGTTTAGCCGTAGTGCGGCCTAAGCCTAACCCATAAAAAGTAGAACAAAAACTCCTTTTCCCTGGAGGGCAATCAACTCCCAGTAGAGGATATCATAATCAAAGACCCCAACAGTAAATAAGCTGGCAAGGCTTCGCATCCTGAATAAGTGATTTATTCCTTTGTCGAAGGAAAAGCTAACATTTCATTAGAAAAGTTCAGGTAAATTCGACATCAAGAGGGGCTGCGTTTGTATTCATACCGCACATTCGCTAACCTCTCGCTCGCTCCCCTGTCGGTTCGTCTGTCTTCTTCTCTAACTTCTTTAGCCTGGTTATCGTTCCGAATTCTCCGCTCGAACGTAACTAATTCAACTTTGAGACTATTGTTTCGCACTTTCGCACGGCCGCGATCTCTCTTCCTCTCACTGGAAAGTTACTCGTTATTCATTGGCGGAATTTTTGAGCAGATCTGTATTCACCTCGAATATATGGGTCCTTAATAATGCAACGATAATTATCAGTGTGTAATTGCTACGGTCCGACCGAAGCTTCGGCATCAGCTTCGATCACACATTCGGCATTTGGCCAAAAAGGGGTGAAAGTTTGACCGAAGGCTGAATGTTTTGAAAAATCTCTACCTACGAGATATTTTGGGAAGGTATCGCGTATAGAGGAAGTGAAAATGGACATAATCTTGGTCAGCGAATTCAGGAAACAGTTGAAACACTTTAGAAGGTGCTAGAAACCGTTAAGATATACCATTTTAGACTTTCACTTTATTCATTTCTGATAAAACGGATCAAGGTACATTCCATAACCATTAATACCAGTGCACAAAATTTTGTTAGAGCGATTTAAAGACAGTAAGTCTACTACGTGATGTTAGTACTTTATGACCCTTGGAGATTGGCCTTCATGTAAGTTTATTAGTTTTCGTCCAAAATATAAAACTATAGGTCGACTTTATTCAACTTGTTCGATATCAGAAAATAAAATGGATTAAATTGTAACCTTATTTTGAAAATTGACGAAGTATGGGTCTTCAATAAGGATGGATTATCCTTTGTCGTTCTTTCGTTTTTTAATCATGTTGTCGGTATCAGGATAAATAACATGCTTAAGTACCCTCGCGTATCTTTTTGTTATTGAATCGGCCACCGCGAACAGTAAATAGCTGTTGTTAGCTCGCTTTGGCTGCCGATTCACCACTATGATCGCTAGATTGCTAATACTAGCAAAAGTGTGTACTTGACCTTCAAAATTCACAGAAATGCTTTCATCCGTTCAACCAACTGCATACTGCGCCGTTTCATGCTTATTGGCAATCATCAGCACGGTCTAAGTGGGACAATGAATATGGGCAGATTAAAATGACGTTGATAGAAGTACGACGAGTTTATAAATAAATTACTTCATGACGCACTTGATTAATTCAGTCACAAATACACCACTATTGAGGCTTGCATGGAATGAGAGAAGAATAATGCCCAGAACTTCTTATATACAGTGTGTCCTGAAAGTTCTAACTCTCCTTTTAAGAAACAACTACATACGAAATAACAAAGCGAATTGGCGGTGAAACAGCACCGAGAAAGTAAAAGAGAAATTTAAGAAAAATAATCAGTATTTACTTGGTAAGGAACTTCAAGTACCGTCCTGTCATATGTTTTGTTTGTAAATAGTGCTTAAGGTGGTCGCTGTTCGACTCAAAAACATGAGTTCGTTTACGTATTCCAAAATTTGCAACATTTGGAGCTGTGCAGGTCTTCCACTGTGACCACCCAGACGATATAAACAAGCTTACGTAGCTATGATGGAAACACTGCGGACAACGCTGTGAATACACTCACAGAGTTTTAACAGGATCTTGAAGACGCTCACAGTAAGCTAACATAAAATCCATAACTACGTTGCTGTTTCAGGAATGTGTCAAATTCGTTTTTTCAAATGCGACTTGATTATAAACTAGATTGATCTACTCGTACACACCGCGCTGCATCTGATTACTCGTATATAGTACCACAAAACATCATAGCTTTTTTCGGAGGAGGAGGAGGAGGAGGAGGAGGAGGAGGAGGAGGAGGAGGAGGAGGAGGAGGAGGAGGAGGAGGAGGAGGAGGAGGAGGAGGAGGAGGAGGAGGAGGAGGAGGAGGAGGAGGAGGAGGAGGAGGAGGAGAGGAGGAGGAGGAGGAGGAGGAGGAGGAGGAGGGAGGAGGAGGGGAGGAGGAGGAGGAGGAGGAGGAGGAGGGGAGGAGGAGGAGGAGGAGGAGGAGGAGGAGGAGGAGGAGGAGGAGGAGGAGGAGGAGGAGGAGGAGGAGGAGGAGGAGGAGGCGGAGGAGGAGGAGGAGGAGGAGGAGGAGGAGGAGAGGAGGAGGAGGAGGAGAGGAGGAGGAGGAGGAGGCGGAGGAGAGGAGGAGGCGGAGGAGGAGGAGGAGGAGGAGGAGGAGGAGGAGGAGGGGAGGAGGAGGAGGAGGAGGAGGAGGAGGAGGAGGAGGAGGAGGAGGAGGAGGAGGAGGAGGAGGAGGAGGAGGAGGAGGAGGAGGAGGAGGAGGAGGAGGAGGAGGAGGAGGAGGAGGAGGAGGAGGAGGAGGAGGAGGAGGAGGAGGAGGAGGAGGAGGAGGAGGAGGAGGAGGAGGAGGAGGAGAGGAGGAGGAGGAGGAGGAGAGGAGGAGGAGGAGGAGGAGGAGGAGGAGGAGGAGGAGGAGGAGGAGGAGGAGGAGGAGGAGGAGGAGGGAGGAGGAGGAGGAGGAGGAGGAGGAGGAGGAGGAGGAGGAGGAGGAGGAGGAGGAGGAGGGAGGAGGAGGAGGAGAGGAGGAGGAGGAGAGGAGGAGGAGGAGGAGGAGGAGGAGGAGGAGGAGGAGGGAGGAGGAGGAGGAGGAGAGGAGGAGGAGGAGGATGAGGAGGAGGAGGAGGAGGAGAGGAGGAGGAGGAGGAGGAGGAGGAGGAGGAGGAGGAGGAGGAGGAGGAGGAGGAGGAGGAGGAGGAGGAGGAGGAGGAGGCGGAGGAGAGGAGGAGGAGGAGGAGGAGGAGGAGGAGGAGGAGGAGGAGAGGAGGAGGAGGAGGAGGAGGAGGAGGAGGAGGGGAGGAGGAGGCGGAGGAGGAGGAGGAGGAGGAGGAGGAGAGGAGGAGGAGGAGGAGGAGGCGGAGGAGGAGGAGGCGGAGGAGGAGGAGGAGGAGGAGGAGGAGGAGGAGGAGGAGGAGGAGGAGGAGGAGGAGGAGGGAGAGGAGG